ATAAATATATTCTATAAATCTTCAAATATTAAATATATTTATTTAATTGTAAGTTAATATGTAAAATTTTGTATAATCATATTTTAATTCAAATGCATCAAGTTGGTGTATCATACTTAATGAGACGACTAATACTAATAATAAAAATAATAAAATACAATAATAAGATAAAATAATTAAAACTCATTTTATAACAATATATTTATATCCTGCGCCTTTAATTAGTTCTTCAATTGTATTTTTTTGAGCAAGAAAGTCAGATTCTAAAGATAATATACGGTATGCATAACAAGAAACTCTTGAAGTATCTTTAATCTTTTCTTTACACTTTTTACAGTCTAAAACTAACCCTTCAGATGGCCATTTTTCTCGTTCTGTTAGCACTTGTTTGATACCTTTAGGTTTGCCTTGAAGTTTTTTATCTAATTCACTATATATTTCTTCATATAACTTTATATCTGAATCTGTTTCTAGAAATACTATTGATTGTATTTGATTATTTTTTCCAAAATAAGTATCATGCATAATTAGTTGCTTTCCATCTGAGCCTAGATTCATCCTACTTGCAATTAAAGTATCTTCACTAAATGCATCATGATTAGAACTATTGTCAAAAGTGAACACAGCTATACAATCAGAATATAATATCTCAAAAATAAGAATTGCCTTATATTTAATTTGTTCAAGAAGGTGTTTTGTAGTCTAGTAACCTTCTTGATTTGCACTAGGTATCAAGTAACATTTTGCTTCTTTAGATATATTAGAGTATCTTTCTATATCAGATTGTTGTAAGCATAAACATCCATCAATTTCTGTAAGAAATTCACTAATCATAATCGATCTTCCATTTCCTTTTTTTCATAGTAGCATCCTTCTGTCTTTAGTCTATACACCTTGTTTACCATCATTTGAATAAAATATACATTCGTCATATACTACAAGAACTCTTTCTTTTTCTCCTTGAGGTAAAATAGGATGTATCCTTTCCATAAACTCATCTTCATATTTTGACATATACTTTTCATGTTTAAATATTTTTTCTAAAAAAGTTTTCTTATATTCTAAAATATCTTCTCTTTCATGACCATCATAGTATATACCTTGATGATATTATTGAAATGAATAGCCAAGAATCTTGAGCTATCTACCTGTGGTCTTTAAACTAACAGTTTTTTTTTTCAAAATTCTAACACTAGGAAACAACTCATCTTTGATAAATTTTTTAAATATAGCAAGTGTAATTTTGAAATTTTGGCTTTTAATCCAAATATTGCATTTGATTTCAATATCTTTATCATCGATTATTCTAATTATTTTTTGATGTTTTCTATATCTAGATGATAGTAGCTTATCATTAAGTAAGCAATATTTTGTAAAATATCAAATTGTTCGTGCTTTTCATATATTACTATTAATAAAGACCTTCTGTGCAACCTCCAAACAAGCTTTAATTTTGCTATGACCATTATTATTACTCAACAAACTAAGATATTCAAAAATAGCTCTTTTATAATTATACTCTTTAACTGTTAATGTACTATAATTTTGTTCTAATTGTTTTTTTAAATCTTTCACTCTTTTAGTTATTTTATAGATATATGAGTCAGTTTCACTTTCTGAATTGCTTGAGACCTTATCTAACTTATTAGGCTATAGATTTGTAATTTGTGTCTCGATATTATTAAAAAAACTAGTAATTTTTTTGGTACCAACTGCCGCTTTAGTAAAGATACTGTTTGGCTTATACTTATCATAATAAGTTGACTTTGGTGTCCTGCTTTTCATATATGGATCTCTAAAAAAGCTTCTCTTAGAAACCAAGAAGCCTCTCTTTCATCCTTTGCTGATCCTAATCTACATCACATCCGGTTTACATTACATGAACTCCAAAAAAGAGATCTACAACTTCTAGAATAGATCTACATCACACTATAGCATGAAAAGAGAAAAATCACCCTATATTGCCCCTGACTAAGGAAGATCTATTTCACATTATACAGACTTTTCAAAGTTGAATTTAGGCCTAGACTATATCTATTTATATCTACTTTAAAGCTAGTAGCTTACTGTGACCTCCAGGTTAGGAATACCTGAAGGATGAGTACCCCACGAGCCAAATTTGTAGACATAAGGACTCTAATCAGCTAGTAGCTTACTGTGACCCCCAGGTTAGGAATACCTGAAGGACAAGTACCTCACAAGCCAAACTTGTAGGCATAAGGACTCTAATTAAAGCTAGCAACTTACTATGATCTCTAGGAATAGAAATACCTGAAGAACGAGTGCCCCACAAGCCAAAGCGTTAGCGTAAGAACTCTAATAGCTAGTAGCTTACTGTGAACCTTAATATAGAAAAGTTAAGCATGAATTACCTACGAGTTAAACAAGTAGGCATAAGTAATTTCAAACCCTAATCCGTAGTCTCAGATACTCCACGACCCAAAGTGTAGGAGTAAGGTATCTTATCACCTAACATATATAAACAAAGCATATCAGATACATATAGAAAGAATATAAGCACACAACTTACAACATCAGAATACAAGTCAAGCATATATAGTACTTCAAACCCTAGACCCAGACTTATCCTATCAGCTATACTATTCAGAAACAAACCTTCACTGATCATATCACAACTTTTGGAATTAGTATAAATGAACCTACTACACCCGATTCTATTCTCAACAAACAGCAACTGCATATCTAGAATTAACTAATAGCTCTACCTACTCTAAAGCCAGAGTAGTAGCATGTGATATAATATTTAGTTGCCAATATAATACCCCTATAGAAAACCTTAAAAACATTGTTAAAACCCTCTTAGTCAAATATACCTGATACACCCTATAATCTCATCTCTCTTTTGGCTTTGAAGCTACAGCCTTTGATACCTATATTGAATTCCCAGCTAGTACCCCTACTCTCAACTCTTATTTAAATAGAACCCTAGAAGAAGTTTTAGGAAATCTTGGTTCCTCTATCCCTAACGAATATACTAGTAGCTTTAATTATTTCGAATATAGCTCTATAGTTAGTTAATACTCCATAGACCCAGACCAAACTATAACTTCTTCATCTACTTTAACCCCTTATAATGAAGATACTACTCAAATCCAATTTCCTTCACAAGATAGACAATGAACTCCTACTCCACCTCTAACTGATATCCCTCTCAGACCTCCTATTCATATATCTCCTTCTCAGTTTCTCTTTACTCCCTCTACTAATACTTCTAATCAACGATATTTTAATATTAATCCTTGAACAGCAATAACTAACTTTATTCATCAGTTTACCCCTACTACTACCTCATCCAATAGGAATCTTCTAATTCCTGAAAATTATTCTCAAGCTAACCTAGATCTCGATAACACTTTTCCCTCACACTATACTCCACTCAACTTTCTACCTCTTTATCAACTAACTCAACTTCTAAACCAAGCTAATCAACTTTTAGATAATATAATCTAAGTCTTAGACAACTTTGAAATCGATCACTATTTTTTAAATAACTAGGAAAATCAAGAAGACTATAATCTTAAAAATTTCTTTAACGTCAAAAACAATAACCAAGAAGCAGAAAACCAACAAGAAGACTCAGATCACGAAACTATTTAAACAGATGAATCAGAAAAAGATATGGCTTAACAAGCTTTACAAGATACTACTACAGCTATGACTATATTAGCTCGAGCTCTAGATACTGATAGTGAAAAGACCTTGTTTAAAATCGAATCTTTTCAAGGTGATGGAACTCAAGACCCTATAACTTGGTTAGATAATTTTGAGCAAGCAGCTAAAGCTAACAGATAGAATGCTACTCGACAACTTGAACTTGTATTTGCTTACCTAACTGACAATACCTAGGAATGGCTCCAAAGCTTAGTCGATGTCCCTACTCATTTTAGACATCAACAGCATAGACAAATAGTTGATAGAAATAATGTTTATAGTTTTTACTACCTGTTTAGAGAAAGATTCCGTACTACTCAACAAAAAGCTACATAGCAAAAACAACTCTTCACTATATAACAAGGCTCAGATATAGTTGATATCTACGTTAACAAATTTAAACAATTAAAAGAACGAGTTGATCTAGAAAATAATTTTTTAGCTAGTTTCCTCATTCAACTCTTTGTACAAGGACTTCGACCAGAATATTCAGTAAATGTCCAAGTCTCAGAACCTGCAACACTAACAGCAGCAATAACTGCAGTATGATGATGGGAAACTAGAACACTCATAGCTTCTAATACAAATTCTAGTACAGATAAAGCTATCGAACAACTCACTAAACAAATAGCTAAGCTAAGCATTAACCTGCAGACTACTCCTACCTCTAAGCTAATTTACTACTCAAATAACTCGAACAGGAACAGATTTGATAATAATAACCAACAAGATACCACTTGTTATTATTGTAGAAGTAAAGAATATTACATAAAGAATTGTTGTAAATGAAAAGAAGATGTTTGATATAATTCCTATTCTAATTCCTGACCTAGTCACTACAATAGTTCTCACTCTAACAACAACTATAGGTCAGATAATAGAAGGAATAATAACTGATATTATAATCATTCTCAATCTCGAGAAAAAAACAGATCATATGATGATAACAGATGCTATAACAATTCTAGGAATAATGATAGAAATAGAAGTCAAGAAAGAAGTCACTCAAGAGATAAATATAGAAATAGAAACAGAGATAACAATAGTAGAAGCAGATCCCGAAGCCGATTCTCTACTCCCTACTCTAGAGAAGCTTATGCTGCAGGTCTCGTTGATTATGATTATAAACAGTTTGAATCATATTTCTTTAACGAGTCATTGCAAACTATTATAGAAACCTATTTTGCTACTCCCTCTTCTAACACTATTATCCAAACCTCAACTCATACTACACCTGTAAAATGCAATATTAGAATTAAGAATAAACTTTATCAGGTCATAATTGATAGCAGAGCTTCTATCAGCATGATCTTATACCAGATTGTTAAAGAACTAGGACTCAAGATAGATACTTGCTCTTCTAGTTTAATTCTATCAGCTACAGAACCCTCCATTAGACCTCTAGAAATAATCAAAAATCTTCCCATAGAGATTGAAGAAATAACTATTTCAATAAATGTAGAAGTTATGGATGCTACCTCTTATTCTCTTCTCCTAGGTAATGACTAGTCTCAAAAAGTCGAAGCAATCTTTAATTGGAAAAATAGTGTCTATACTTTAAAATAGAACAATAAGAAAATTCATATACCTACTACCTATGAACAACATCAACCTTTATCTACTCAATCAACTGTAAAGGAACAGCATGAATTAGACTAATTTGAACAAGAATTCTTATTTCAAAAAGAAGCTTATATGCTAACAGCTGCAGATTCAGAAACTGATAATCAATCTTAGATAACTCCAACTCCTAGACTTAAAAACAAACCCTCTATAAGCAATCAATACAGAAGATGTGGGAATTGCTATTCCAATGAACATATCTTTGCAGATTGCTCTGACAACTAATGCAATAGATGCAAAAGACTAGGACATATCTCTAAATATTGCCTTCGCAAACCACCAAAGCTAAACTACTATAAAGTATGTGATAGCACTAAACATCAATATGCTGATTGCCCTTATAACCATTGCTATCAATACAATGAGTTAGGACACATCAGTATTCATTGTCCTCTTGCTCCTCTCAAGAAAGATAACCAACAGTATAAATGTGGATGTAGCTAAGATGAAGTAGAAAACAGACGAATAGTTTACTATAGCTGTAAAAGAATAAACCATTGCTGTAAATGCAAAACCTCTCAGATGCCAGAAGATATTCGCCTCCTTAATAATACTCTAGTATGCAAGATTTGTTGAACTGATTTTTACCAATAACTCCCAAGAGAAGACCTATGAAGCATAGAATATTTTACTAATAGTTATGGACAAGGCCTCCTCACTAAATGTGCTCTTTGTCAAGAAGAACATATTAAGACTAGAATGCATAAATTAAATACAATCCAAGAAGATTCTTAGTTTTGTAACCTAGAATATTTTTATGCATATAAAGCAGCCCAAGACATAGAATAAAACTCTAACTATAATCTATAGACCTGAATACGTCACTATACTGAATCCACTAGAAATGCAGAATATACATATGACCTTAATCAAAGTAGAATGTTTTATCTTGCTAAGGTCAAGTTAGGACAAAGTCATCAGAATATTAGAGAAGCTTTAGAACCCCAAATGAACGATCAATCTAATCAGAACTACTCAGACGATGATATTAGTATAATTATGAAAACACTTCACATAACTCTCTCAGAAACAGAACAAAAAATATTAAATCGAATCTTACAAGAATTCTTTGACCAATCTTATCCTGAATTTGATTATTACAAAGCAATAGAAAACCTTCAAAAGAATTTCAATAACAAAGTAGCTCTATGTAAAAGTTGCTTTATGCCTAAGCAGAAAGCAGAGCTTGAACAATATGAGGAATATTGCCAAGAATATCATAAAGAATTACATCCTAAATCTCAACTAGAATACAACCAGAAGACCTCTTTCTTCAACCTAAATTATCTGATCAACCTTAAGTTCAATCTAGACCTGACCAGGATGAACTTATTAACTATTACAACAACAAGTTG